TTAAAATAGTTAAATGATTCATGCATGTTTTTCTGATGCATACATGGCTGTTTTGCATTATTTACAGTTGATTTGTGAAATGTGAAATTATATACAAATGAAAATTTATTTGATTATGTGAATTAATAAATTGTTGTCTTATTAGATATCTTAGGAGATTTTGGATGGACTGGGTACACAAAGAACCCTACCCATAAATGTTACCTCATACCCGGATGGAGTATCGAGATATTATATTTTTAGCACTCATATCGGATAGTGTATGAAGACGGACCGATTCACCCTCATACTGGACGGAATATCGAGGGATGACATTTTTGGCGCTCATACCAAACGGGATATGGGTACGGCCGGTTAATTGACAAGTTTAGCTATTGGGTTTATGCGAACACCAGTAAACAGATAAAAAAGAAAATTGTTGTTCTCGCTCACTTATATAAGAAATCATAATGTTATTTGAGTTATTGTCTTTATAGATCGATTTTGAAAATCTCGTACCTGTAAGTATGCAATAAATAATTTTTTTATGATAAATGAACTTACTTATATTAAAAGCTCCATTCGTCATTTTTTTCACTAACATTCAGTTTCCGTATGGTGAATAGTGTGATATTTTTATTGGGTTAGTGTACCTCATCCCTATTAACCATTTCAGATTAAGAAAATCAAAATTCAGATTATAACAAGTAGGAGGGCTATGAGTAAGTATTTCCCCAAATCCTATGAAGAACTAGTGGAGGTTAACATTCCTACAACATTCATTTACTATTTTTATATGTTTATTTCGTTTTTTGTTATGAACTACTATGAAAGGGGCATTTTTGCAGCCCTATTGAATATTTTAATTTACGTGTAAGTAATGTAAATCTTAACGTTATTATATGCTTTCATATATTCAATTCAAATTTATTTTACCTAAGTTTTTGAGACTTTACATTTTGAACTTGTTATCGATTTTGTTCTTATCTCCATCTTTTATCTCAAATATATAAATTTATTTCATATATTTCAAAATTTTTATTTTTAAAAAGTTGAGTGATTTTTTAGGCATATAGTAAATTTTAATTCACGAAATATAAATTGTTTAAAAAATTTTAATTTCAATGTGAAGAATAATACAATAAATATTATTAATTAAATCAAACATACTTTTACAAATTGCAAACCCATGCGAGTTGCCCTCCAGCTACAACACGCAGACGTCACCTTTTGAAGCCAAGATTTGTCCACACCCCGTATTAGTTCTGTTTTTTCATTTTTAATTCTTTAAACATTATAAGTGCTCTGAACTCTGATATCTCGAGTCTGTTTTTTTTTTTAAAAAAATAAATTATTAAAAAAACTAATTTTTCCTTCAATATTTAAATTTGAACTAATTTTTTCGCTTTATATTTAGTTTCTTTTTTCAATTCTATTTTTTTTAAAAAAATTAAGCAACTCAGATTTTAAATTTCGGCAATTGTAATTTAAAAAAAGGTACTTCAATGTTAAGTTTTGTATTTTTTTTGTTGTATAAAATTTCCCAACAAAATAAAATACCAATATCCTCATAGCGTGTGTCTTAGGCAAAAATTTTATATATAAATTGCTCGTATATGCTGGTTTAAGGAATCTTTAGCCTCTGTCACTGTGAATCTCAATTGCAGAGAAAGATGAGTTTTTGAAGCAAATCAGAAAATGGGTCTCCTCTGGAACGTGAAATCTTCTCTGGGTTTTTCTTTCTCTCTTAGTTTCTCTAATTTTCATGGTTAAGAAAACTGGGAGAATCTTGAGGAAAAAATTTCTCTCTTTTCTTTGTTGAGCTTTTCTAGGCAAGTTTTCTTCAGGGCATGTAGTGAGATTTTTCAGGGTTAAGAGAAATTAAAAATGAGATCTTTTAATGGATTAGGGTTTGGTTTGAGTATGGTTTTTGGTTGTCTCCTCCTAGCTTTTGTTGCAGAGCTATATTATCTCCTGTGGTGGAAGAAGAAAAGAAGAATGATAAACACAGAGATTGAAGATGAATACAACAGCTATACAAAAGAACTAGTTCATCTTCTCTGCTGGAAAAAATCATCTTCTTGGCAAACGAGCACAACCAACAACAACATCAATGGCGGAAATAACAACAGTAATCAGGAACTTTTGATGAACCCAGATGGGAACTGCCATGAACGAGACCTTGAGTTGGGTTCAAGCAAAGACTTTTTGCTAAAAGCATTTGGGGAAGAAGGTGTGGAGGCAGAGCTCATGAGACTTCATAACCTCGCTGGCCCGCCAAGGTTCCTGTTCACAATCAAGGAGGAGACGAATGAGGATTTAGAATCTGATGATGGGAAATCCAGAGGTGAAAGGTCAACCACCAGAAGCTTGAGTGACCTAGTGATGGCGGTTGATTCTCCTTTCCTTACCCCTCTAGCTTCTCCTCACTTAAAGTCTCCACCTTTGAACAGTTTAGATACTTTTCATCTCCATGGATTGTTCAATCCGCTCTTTGAATCGTCTGGAGATGGAGATAGTTTCAGTAGGTTTAGATCATCACCTCCTCCAAAGTTTAAGTTCTTGAGAGATGCAGAGGAGAAGCTGCTGAGAAGATTAGCGGAGGAAGCGGAGAAGAAGAGGTCTAGTAATGGAGGTAGGTTAGTTCAAGACTCTGGTAATAAAGCTTCGAATGATTCAACAATGGCGGTGGAAGAAATGGATGGTTCTTTTCTGAAATTCATTGTGAAAAAATAACAGAGAAAAAGATCACAATCGTCATCAAAACTTACCACCGTTTCCTTCATGTTTCTTTCACAGGGTACTGCCCATTGGCTTCTTCACCTACAACTTTTCAGACCCATTAAACCCAGAAACCCCTTCTGTGCATTAAGTTTTTTTTTTTTTTTTTTTTTTTTGGGGGGGGGGGGGGGGGCCGGGAGGGCCTAAAAAAATGGAACTGTTTTTCTTTTATTCTTTTTAATCTGTCAAATTTTCAGGTCGATTTACTTGTGTATGAAATTCAAAGCCTTTGAATTCTTCTTCTTCTTCTCTGTTGATTTTGTTTGGGTCGTCTGTAAATTTCATGGTTTAATTCTAATCCTCTTAACATGTGTGCTACACTGTGGAAATGAGTTCTCTGGAAATTTTCCTGGGAAAGTGATAGAATCTGTAAACAGTAGATAAAATGTTGTTGAATTCAAGGTGGGTTGATCTCTTTTCGGTCTATGCCATTTCAGGATTCCTCCACCCCCAAAAAAAAAAAAAAAAGTAATTTACAGTTTTACCCATTTGGTTCATCCTTACCGCCTCTTCAATTTTGTCATTTTCTTTTTCTGTAATAATTTTTGATACTAACTTCTGAGCTAAAAATTATCAATCTTTTTAAATTAATATCGGTAAATCCATTTTAAAGATTTTTTAAAGAAAAAAAATTTAATTTCCGTATATAAAAAATTGATGGGAAAGTACTAAAAGTAATAATATTTGATACTAATTATAATTATTACTTAAAAATGATTTCATCACTTTAATATTACAAAAGAAATACTATTTTTCCCCTAATAATTAATAAACTAAATTAGTTCACAGCCAATTTTATTTTTTTTTTTGGGCTGACTAAAATTAAACATAGAGCTAAAATTGTTGCCAAATTTTAGAGGCAAGTTTTCAGTGTCAAAATCAGAAATGTATGCGTATAGAATTAAGTCTCTAATACTTTTCTTAATGAACGAAACATAGAATAGACACATAACGTGCGCCGGGTTATAAGCCATACACAGAGACAATGGTATACAGCTAATTGTGTGTAAATAAGTCTAGTATTATTATTATTTTTTATTTCTTTAAATTAAAATATGAAACTTTATGCTGGCAGTGGGGAACTTTCTTGTTTTCAAATTAGGTCCAAATTGCAATAATATTTTGGCTTATTGTTTGTCACTAGACGAAAATTGTAGGAATGGCAAAAGAGTGAGTTAGGAGACTAGTTTTATTAAATTTGAACACGAATCGGAACGAATTTGGATTTTTTTTTTTAATTTTTTGAGATTGTAGTCGAATTTTATAAATTATTGGATCATATTTAATTCAATTATAAGATTGTAGATGTTTAGTTCGTAAAATAGTACAAATTTTTTATTCTTAAAAGAAGAAATTAACCCGTATGAAATTTTATATAAGATGGTCTATAATTATTACAATATAGTTCGTATTTTTTTTTTATGAGACGTAGAGTTTTAAAATTAATAAATAATTGTGATTTTAATTAAAAAAAATGTTGCTGTTATCACGCGAACTCGACCGAAAGTTTGCCCTTACCTTCAAGTTTCAACTTTCAATCTCCAATTAATTTCAAATTTTGAATTCTCAGAGAAAAAAAAGTTCGAATTATGTAAAAATAGAAAGTTAGTAGTAATGGGCTTGTAACGTATACCCAAATTCAAAATTGGAAAACGACATAAAATCAATTTTAACTTGCGACAATATTTTGAAAATGACAATTTCCACAAAATAATAACATAATTTTATTAATCCATAAATTAAGTGATTTTTTTTTAATAAAATAATATAATAAATTTAGCGAACAAAAATATAATTTAGCATTTGATGGCGAACATGGCTCCATGTGAGGCCCGTGGCCCACAATCGAGGTTAGTTT